CCACTCTCTCGCTGTCTCTGTCTGTCTGTCTGTCTCTCTATCTCTCTATCTTTGTTTCCTTCTTCCCCTAATTACCTCGTCCCTCCTCCCGCGTCCCTCCTTCCCCTCATTTCTGCTTTCCCCCCAACCCCTCGCTGAGGAGAACATCTCCAATTTTGAGCTCTGTCCTGGGTCGACGGGAGAAAACTGTTACATCGCGTTCTCCGTCCCAGAGAAAGACAGCATCGTCGCGAAGGCCACACTGTGGAGCATCGGAGACGTCAAGAAGCCGATCCTCTCGCTCCCGACCACCTCGAAGGTGAAGGACGTGGAGAGCAGTGCAGCGAAGCACACACGAGGAGGAAGATGAAGAGGGGCTGCGGGGGGACGGGGGAGGACGGAGAGGGCCGCAGGCTGAAGGCCGAAGGCCGAAGGGACGGGGAGGACGGCGAGGGACGGGCTGAAGGCTGCAGACGTGCCGATCCGCCCTCTGGGCAGGATCGGTGCAGAGGTGCGCGGTGCGCCCGGGATCGGTGCCTCCGCCCTCCGGGGCAGGATCGGCGCAGAGGTGCGCGCTAATTGGGCCTTCCTGGGGCGCTGGGGGGCGGAGAGAGGCGGGCAGGCCAAAGCGTCTGCAGAGGCCGCGGGGGCAGATCTCATGGATTGGGGCCTCTTGGCCCTCCGAGGCCCGGCTCAACGACAGGCTCGGGGGCACCACGGCTCTACCCTCACTGCCCGCCAACCCCCCCCAACCCAACCCGAAGGCCCCGATTTGCCCTTCATTTCCAGTGGTGTGGGGGGGGGGTCGGGGAACATGGAAAAACACATCTGAAGCCCGGGCCCCCCCAACCCGAAATTCGGGCCAAATCAGGGTCTTCGGGTTGGGTTGGGGTGTGACTTGGCAGGTAGTCATACCCCTCGGCCAGCTCCAGTCGCCCTGCTCAGGGCCGAGGCCTCGCCGCGCCGCCCCGTTCAGGGCCAGATCCCCGGATCCGATGGCAGCGCGCTCTCTCTCTCTCTCTCTCTCTGCCCCTCCTCCTCCTCCTCCTCCTCCTCCCCCTCCCCCCCTCCTCCTCCTCTTCCTCCTCCTCCTCCTCCTCCTCCTCCTCCTCCTCCTCCTCCTCCTCCTCCTCCTCCTCCCCCTCCTCCTCCCCCTCCCCTCCCCCTCTGCCCCCCTCCTCCTCCTCCTCCTCCTCCTCCTCCCCCCCTCTCCTTCCTCCTCCTCCTCCTTCCTCCTCCTCCTCCCCTCCTCCCTCCCCTCCTCCTCCTTCTCTCCTCTCCTCCTCCTCTTCTTCTTCCTCCTCTCCTCCTCCTCCTCCTCCTCCCCTCCCCTCCTCCTCCTCCTCCTCCTCCTCCCCCTCCTCCTCCTCCTCCTCCTTCTCCTCCTCCTCCTCCTCCTTCTCCTCCTCATCTTCCTCCTCCTCCAGCCCCAGAGCCTCGGGGCGCCGGCTCCCCCGAGCCGAGGCCCGGCGTGGCGGCGCCGGGGCCCCACGGCCGGCAGCAGGCCAGGAGCGCATGCCGGAGAGCAGCAGGCCGACACGCCGCCGCTGGGGAGCCCCGCCAGCGCGAGGGGGAGGTCGGGGGTGCGGAGGGCGGCGGCGGCGGCGGGGGGGGGGTCAGGACGGCCTCCTCCTCCTCCTCCTCCTCCTCTCCTCCCTCCTCCTCCTCCTCTCCTCTCCTCCTCTCCGTCCTCCTCATCCGGCGGGGTGCGCGAGGGGGCGGCGCGAGGGGAGCGGCCCTCCTGGTGAGCGGGGGCGGCAGCGCCTGCCGCGGGCGGTGCGCGCGCAAGGTGGCGGTGAGGGGTGTGGGGGGGGGGGGAGTATGCGGCGTGCGCGAGGGGGCGGCGCGCAGAAGGGGCGGCCTCAGAGGATGCTGGGGGGGGGGCGGGGGGCTTCTTGGGTGGCCTGCTCAGAAGGGCTGGGGAGTTCCTGGAGGGGCTTCTCGGGAGAAACCAGGAGCGCTTCCGTGCAGGCCGCTCCCCTCTCAGAAAGGACCCCCGCCCTCTCGGACGGCCGCCCCGTCCTCGGGCCCCCCCCCCCCCCCCCGCCACCCCCTCGTGCGGAGGAGGAGGAGGAGAGGAGGAGGAGGAGGAGGAGGAGGAGGAGGAGGAGCAGCAGCAGCAGCAGCAGCAGCAGCAGCAGCAGCATGAGAAGGAGCAGATGAAGGAGGAAAACGAATAAGGACCTTACTCTGAAGTGGAACGCCGAGGGCAATGCGCTGCTCATCCTGGCCAGCAGCGACGTCGACGAGACGGGCAACTCGTACTTTGGCACCACGCACCTGTGGTTCGCGAAGGTGGACGGCAAGTCCAAGCCCCTGAAGATCTGCGGCGCGGAGGAGGGCCTCGTGCAGGACCTGTCTTGGAACCCGGCCAAGAATGAGTTCGCCACCATCGTCGGCAGTTTCCCCGCCACCGTCGCGCTCTACGACGGCAAGACGGGGAAGCTCACCTCGACGTTGGGCACGACGAAACGCAACACACTGAGGTGGAATTCCTTCGGGCGCTTCCTGGCCGTCGGAGGCCTCCTGGGGGGCGCCAATGATATACCAGTGTCAAAGTTGGCCCACAAATGGAGGAGGAGGAGGAGGATGAGGAGGAAGGATAATAGAGAAGAGGCGGGGGAGGGAGGCAGAGGGGGAGCTGGGAAGGAGGGAAGGAGGGGGAGGAGGAGGAGGGGGAGGAGGAGGAGGAGGAGGAGAAGCAGCAGCAGCAGCAGCAGCAGCAGCAGCAGCAGCAGCATCAGCATCAGGAGCAGGAGCAGGAGGATGAGGAGGAGGAGGAGGAGGAGGAGGAGGAGGACCAGTGCAAACCCAACACCAACGATGTTGGAATCAACCCTCCCCCCAAGCTCCCTCTTCATCGGCCCCTACAACGGTTCATTTCCACAGAGGGACATGCCTCGTTGGAAGACAACCGTTTGAATACCCTGAAGCATGCCAAAACACTATTCTCGGTATTCCACCGCCACCGGTAAGCCTGAGTGTTGCGTCTGAATGATTCTGAATCGCGCCAGAACGCCATTCCTGGGACTTCAACACTGCGAATCATCGTAATTGTTGCGCCCTCGTAATCGTGAATCTTTCCCAAAACACCGTGTCTGGTACACTGATCATGGGAATCCGTGAAATTGTAGCATTGTTTTAACAATAATGTGCGCGGCGCTAAGGCGAGAGCCACAGTTTGAAAAGGAACCGCTTTCAATATGTGAAGCTATTACAAATTTTAGAAACCGATGTGCGTGGCGCTCAGGCGAGAGCAACATTTTGAAAACGACCCGCCCTCATTCCGTGAAGCTCTTGAAATTGTTTTAAACGCATGTGCGCGGCGCTCACGCGAGAGCCACATTATGAAAACAAACCGCCTTCAATCCGTGAAACTCTTGCATTTGCGGCGCTACGGCGAGAAACACCTGTTGAACACCATCCGCCCTCAATCCGTGAAGCTCTTACAAAGTCTGAAAACGAATGTACGCGGCGCGAAGGCGAGAGCCAATTGAAAACCACCCGCCCTCAATCCGTGAAGCTCTTGCAAATGTTGAAAACGAATGTGCGCGGCGCTAAAGCGAGAACCACATTTTAAAAACCGACCGCCCTCAATCCGTGAAGCTCTTGCAAATTTTAGCAATGAGTGTGCGCGGCGCTAAGGCGAGAACCACATTCTGAAAACCACCCGCCGTCAAACCGGGAAACTCTTGCATTTTGTTTTGTTGATGTGCGCGACGCTAAGGCGAGAACCACATTTTGAAAACCACCCGCCCTCAGTCCGTGAAATTGTTGCAAATGTTTAAACATGTGCGCGGCGCTAGGGCGAGAACCACATTTTGAAATCCACCCGCCCTTAATCCGTGAAGCTCATGCACAGTTTGAAAACGAATGTGCGCGGCGCTAACACGAGAGCCACATGTTGAAAACCACCCGCCCTCCATGTGTGAAGCTGTTGCCGATGTTTAAGCTTCAGAGTCAAGAGTGGTGAGGAAGTGTCAGGCGAAACGCCCGGCCCGCCCTAAAAACTGGCCTCGTGGTGCGACAGGGAGAAATTGCTCATAAGGGGGAGGAAAGGAGGAGGAAAAGGAGGAGGAGGAGGAGAAGGAGGAAGAGGAACACATTTCGTTTTTTTTCTCGTCGGCTTCGTCGTCGTCGTCGTCCTCCTCCTCCTCCTCCTTCTCCTCATCTCCCTCCCCATCATCCCCCCTCATCCTTTCTCCTCCTTCTTCCTCCATTCTTCTCTTAATTGTTTTCCTTCTACTCCTCCTCGACACAGCCCTGCGCGACGATGGGTGTCGCCGCGCACCTTTGAGCTGGATGGGTGGCGCTTCCCCTTTGATGCGGGGCCATTACCACTTGCGCCACCACCCGCTCACGTTCACCACACGGGTGAACACACAGGAAAAGGTAAAGCCAAACGAGTTAGGCGATATGGAGAGAATCAATCTCACCCGCACGGACCTGATCGCCAGTCTCGAACGGCTGGCGGAGCAGGTGCCACTTCTTATTGAGACTGTAACGTGCTGGCGCGCGCGCGCGAGGTTCGCCAACACGCGCGCGCCGTGGGAGGAAGTCGCAGGGGGCCCCCTGCACTGCTCAGACAACTTAACAAAAACTTTGCGACCTCCGAGCCCACAGACTGCACACACGACGCACCAGGTGCCCTCCTGAAGCTGAAAGGGATGCACGAGGTGCCTGCGCCCATTTGCTGCAACAACACGCGCGTGCGCAGCATCAGCACGCAGGAGGGGGCGAGGGGTGGCGACTGGCGGGGGCGGTTCAACCACGAGCATGGGCTGACAGGAAGACTGACAAGACCGCTTCTGTTCAGGCTTAACATGCTCACAGTCAAAATCGGCGAAACTCGCCCTTACTTGGGCCACCCATCTGGCGTAGTGAGCCAACACCTTAGCCCTGGCATTGACCTGCTCACGCAAACTCTGACCAATCTGGACACGCGATGCAGACCACTGGGCCCACGAGTCGGCCTCATCATTACCAGCCTTTGCAAACGCACTGCTGAGACCGAGCTGCACACGTGCATGCGTACAGTGTCCCTTCACCTTGACGAGACGAATCTGAGAGGGACCACCCCAGTCGTGAATCTTTGTCCACACCGCGCGCCACAGCTCGGACCATGCACCGCGGGAGCCACAACACTCTCGCTCTCCACGCTTGTGCACACCGTCATGCACGAAGGCTGAGTCTGTGTACAATATGGATCCTGGTGACGCGTGCTGCAGCCCGCGATAAAACGCAACAAGCTCAGCATAGTCGATGTCTTGACACAACTCGTGCACCGTACCACACACAACAGAGAGTGCACGGAATGTGCCGGGACACAAAGCGACGGCGGCCCACCCCACCGCCTGCGCGTGGGGGGGGAGCTTCTGGTCGATCCACGACCCGTCGAGGAACACATGTCCTGATAGGGCCTCGGGCCCTCCTGCGAACCACCTATCTGGGACGGGACGGGTGGCGGGGAGGGGAGCAAGCGGCAGCAGCAGCCTCTCAGCAAAGAGGAGGGGGAGAGGTTGAGTGGCAGCTCGCACGAGGGTGGTGAGAAAGGACGGAATACGAACTCCTTCCATGATCTCCTCGTGCAAGCCGCACGCTGCCTGCCTGTGCAGCAGGGTTCCTGGGGCTGACCTGCAACCTAGACAGAAGACATTGGTCGAGAGCCCAGCCTCCCATTGACGATGCTGCGGCCACAGGCCTCCTGAAATCACACTCTTGAGATGCCCGCGCCCAACAGGCAAGAGGGGGCGAAGGCTTCTGAGCGGAGTAAGGTCGCACCCATTTTGCAGCTCAGGCACATCCAATCTATTGGCGACCTTACCCCAAAGCCAAACATCGACCACCCTCTGGAGCCAGATCACAAAAGTCCTGGGGCCGACGTCCCTGACCGAGATGCGCCCCAAGACCGAGTGAGCGAAAACAAAACCGTCGACCTGGAGCCCCAGACGGATGGCCGTGGCCGCGCAGGCCGCGAAAGGACCCTTGATGCCAGCCCAGGGGTTCCCGTGGTCGGAGAAGCGATGGACAGCATCTGTTATTCCTTGCTCGAGCATGCGCACAGGGAGCAAACCGTCCCAGACGGCCACCGCGAACATCTGCAGAGGCTCAATAGTTAATTTGTATGCAGGGTCGCATCGGGGTGCTTCAGACATCATAAGAAGCAGCGTGAGACTGCGACCCGACAGCTCGGCGACCTGCAAATGTGCCTGCATAGCTCTGGCGAGACGCAACTCTGTGCAATTCGCGCCGTCTACAGCGCCCCCATACTTGCAGGAGGCCAGGGGGGCAGCTTGCACCATGTTGTGCAGCCAGCGCTTTTTAACATGCGGTCCGAGCGAGACGATCTTGCGGGCCCGAGCGCGCGCTGGTGCCCTGCGAGCGGCTCGCGTGGCGCGAAAGCGGCAGACTGCAGCGGCAAAATCGATACCTATGTTGCGCTCTGTTTGAGCGCCCTGAACATTAAACCTACGGGGCCTTTGGACGAGCTGAGCCCTGATATGAGCTGACGACGCAACGACCCGACTCTTACGACGGTGCACGACCAAGTGAACCTTCTCAAGCTCAGCGTGCAGCATGGTGGTGGCCCCTGCTAGGTCTTCCACCACGTCCTGCGCACGTCCTACCCTATGGGCTCCAAAATCGTCCACCACGACCCCCAGACTGACGTGCTGATAGGTCGCCACAACCTTATCAGCGGGGCCGAGGAGGATGAGTTGCAACATCAAAGTGGCGAAGTGACAGCCAGGCAAAACGGCCTGGCGGGCCTCTAGAGGCCGAGAAACCACGTCCCCCAGCGACAAGATCCGCGGGGCCCTGTAGAGCTCGACTAAAAGCTTCAGCTGGCGGAGCGGAAACCCTGACCTACTCGCAGCGAGCACTGGCTCGCCATGACGAGCGCATTCGAAAGCCTTCTGCAAGTCAAGCAGGAAGAGCCCACTAGAGAAGCCTCGTGAGGCCGCCCACTCTGAGCTGGCGGCCTGGACCCAAACGAGCTTGTCACTGCTGCGTCCAGACGTGGGCCAAAAATATGGACGATGATTGCGAGCTTGCCATTGCTTGATCAGCGGGCGCCGCAGGCGCCCCTGAATACGGGCTAGAACGTGAATGGGCGCAATGGGCCGAAATCCACCCTCACGTTTGCTGAGAAAAAACCACTTTGGTCCAGAGACGCGGCCAGGAGCAGGAAGATTCGACCTCTCCTAAAAAAACGATCAAGGCCATCAAGGCCCCGTCGGAGAGGTGCAAAAGCTGCCGAGGGGAAATTGCATCGAAACCGCATCCAGACCTCTTGGGGAACGTGCGAACGCACGCTCTAAACTCATCGAGACTAGGTGGCGAAAGTACGGGGCCAAGGTCCGCAGGCCAGGCGATGGAATCCGACAGAACCCCCACCTTCCACCACCCAGCCCACTCAGCCTCAAGCAAATCCATCTCCTCGGCCATAGTAGCGGGACGCGAGGCACCCTGCGCTTGCACCAAGGAGCTGGGAACCCAAGGCTGGGCAGGCTTGGTATATGA